GAAGAAGAACCAGCAGAACCAAAAGGCCAAATATTGTGTGATTCCACTTCAGTGTCCAGAATAAGTGACTATACAGGGCAGAAAAGAGACAAGTGGTTGCTAGAAGCTCAGGAGACTGGCAGCAAGTGAGGATAATAGTTTTAAGGGACAGAAGGTTCTGGAATTAGGCAGCAATGATGGCTGCCTAGTCTTGTGAGTAGAGAAATCACTATTGAACTTCTTGGAAGGATGAATGCTATGCTATGTGAATTATAGCTCAAGTGAAATAAAAAGAAGTTCTGGTCACACATGATAATGACTGATGGATTGCACGGTGTAATCTTGGCTCTTTAGCACAAGCAAAATGTGTCTATTTTTTGGCATGAGAAATCCATTTTTTCTATTATAGTATTTTCTCCCACTTATCTAAAAACCTAGGATGCTATCAACTTCCCTGTTTCCAAAAGTCAAAGTTTTGACTTGGAAAAACTTTCAGATGAAGTGTACCATACCAGAAATCACTCTGGCAGAAATATTTGTCAAAAGACAATAAAAGAGCTATATATAATCCAGAACTTGAGAGGCAAGGCAGTGGGATCATGAGTTTAAAGCCATGTTCCCCCAAATTAATTATACATAAGTTTAGAAAGATGATAAAAGGACAGTAAATTAAAAAAAAACAAGCTCTAGAAGACTATAACACCACATCTATGTTGCTTCATATTTTCTGTTGCAGAATAAATCTCTTAGCCCTGAGAATAACACAGGGACAGTCACATCATTGTGAGAAATGGAGGAGAAACGTAGTTTCACAAGGAAGGGAAGCTCCGCTTGTTTTCACTAATTACTTGAAGCATCTTACAAAAAGACTAAGCAACATTACGCAAAGTCCTTGGAGTGCACGGGGCAAGTGCCACGTGGACTGATGGCAAGGACGAGATCTGTAAGAAGATCCAAGAGCAGAGCAGAGCTGGGTAGCCGCGGCTCACTCCTTGAATCCTAGCTACTTAGGAGGCTGAGATCAGAGGGTTGCGGTTCAAAGCCAGCCCAAGAAGAAAAATGAGACTCATTTCTAATGAACCAGCAAAAAGCCAGAAGTAGAGGTTGGTTCAAGTGGTAGAGAATCAGCCTTGAACAAATAAAAAAAAGCTAAGCAAGAGTATGAGTCCCTGAATTCAAGACTAGAACACAAAAAATAAGGGAGGAATGAAGGAAGGGAGGGAGGGAGGGAGGAAGGAAGGAAGGAAAAAAGAAGAAGTAGAGCAAGAGTGAGAGAGAGCGTGCCATTCTGGCATGTTTTTTTTTTTTTCAGGAGGGGCTTGTTTCATTTCTCCATGTCTTGAGGTCAGGAGGTACTGTGCAGGGCTCTCACTACTGTATCCTGTTAACACAGGCCACGGAAGGTAGAGATGCGGTTTCAAAGCAGCCTGGGTTTGCCTCAAAGACAGCCCTGTTATAGAAATTCCTTTCAAGAAATGCAGTAAGAGAACTTCTTTTTAAAAAATGCAGTCAGTAACTTTCTCCATTTGCAACAATGCCCACAAGGCTAGGTGCCCACATGATAGATGAACCAAGAGCAAAGCCAGTGCAAAGAGCAGCAATGTTATTGCTCATTTGAAAGATGGCATTAAAAAATTCCAATCTGTTCAAAGCAGGCTCTTGTCTTTGTCCCATAAATTACAATTAAAATATTAATATATATCTAATAAAATATTCATTAGATTTTTTTCTTGACATAGTTATGATTCACATCCGGACAAAGCTGTTAACAAAATAGACTTCTACATTTATGAGGTTTTAGAAATGGAACCCAGAATTAAATGATAGTTATAAAAATACAAGAACAGATAGAA